GCAATTAATGTCTGTCAATTTTCAGAATTCAATATTCTACGCTTCGCAACGTCCGACATAAAATTGTAGCGAACATTCTCGATGCAACGTAACACTTTGTTAATATGATAGGGAAAATAATAAATAAATCTTATCGCAAAAGAACATTGAAAACGTATCTGTCATCGCAATGTCTTATATTGTTAGAATATCAAAATGCAAATATTAATTATAATCAAATTTTTATTCCATTAATGAACTTAAAGTCTTAATTCTTAATTCGTATCGGTTGAAAACGACGTTATTTCCAAATATATTTTTATGCAAAATGAAAAATATCGATAAGATTTGATTCAATGATAGAAGCAGTCGCCTTGCAAGTGAAAGAAACTTGGATTCGATTTCTAATTTCAACATCTTCGCTTCTAATGTTTTTTTCGTCTACACTTTTTTAAAGAAGAGTCAGAGGTGTTTATTAAAAATTTTAAAAATCTCGAGACAAGGGGGTTTATTTAAATTCTTGTCCGAAAAAATTAGCGCTCTATGCACAATTAAGTGTTGCGCTTATAATATATATAAAATAGAAATAGTTGAAATTGTACCGTTTATCGAAAACTCGCATCACTTTCAATTGATTAAAATATCGTAACATAAATATAACACAAATTCTCCAAAACGAGAATAATAAAACTTTTCATAAATCGGGCCATTCATCAAAAAGTAATATAGATGCTTTATTGTTAATTTATTTTATCTTTTTATAGAATATATACCTTTATATATATATATATATATATATATATATATATAAGGTAAAATTATATATACCTTTATATATATATATATCTTTAACTTTGACGAATACATAAATAAAAAATTATCTAGTCTGTAGACTAGAATAAAATTTATAGATATAAAAATTGGAAAAAAAATTCAACACTAAAGCATTTAATATTTTTTCATGAATAGCCCGATTTATTAAAAGTTTTATTATTTCCGCTTTGCTGTGTTTATGTTACGATATTTTATAGTCGATTGAAAGTGATGCGAATTTTCAATAAGCGATATAATTTTAATTTATTAATCGAGTTCGATATTAGTATCATCCCCTTTCCGTATTTCGGAGCAACAAGTGCCTTTTTTTCTTGTAAAATTACTGGTGGAAGCCGATTGTTATCTACAAGATTAATCAACCGTCTAGCGTGGCGGAAGAGCTCAGTGAACAGTAACCCTAGAACGTAACGAGGCGAAACTTTGTTAGCCTTAAAGCGCGAAGGTCGGCATTCGCGGATGTTTACTTCAAAGTTCGTAGCGTGGTGTAATAGCATTGAACTTAACTGTGCCCTGACAAAATCAATAATTAAAAATAAAAAAAGAAAATAATAATCCGATCTGAAAAAATTGTCGTTTTACGGAAAGTGCCTAATTAGAATATAATTATGGTATGTTCATCGATTTACATTTCAACGTTACGTTGCGCATAAATATGCAAATATATATATTAGCATTATCGTTAACTCTATCAATATTTGTAATAATATATGGGAATTTTATATATTAATTAAAACGAGAATGCGCATGCCAGTCAACCAGGTAAATATACGTGTATACATTGGCATCCGGCGTTCTCGATAGTTACACATAATTGTCAATATAATCGTTACAATAATTCAGTCTATGTGAGGCAACGTCGTGTAGAGGATATCAAGCGGCATATATATACATATCGCGCGCATCTACATCTCGGTATGTATAGATATACATATACGATGGTCCGGTTCCATGTACGCAAATTATTGCGCACTCCACTTTGAGGATGAGGTCCGTGGTATCCGTGGGTCGTGAATACGTTATCTTTGTGCGAGAAATTTCATCAAAATACCGCGCGCGCGCGCGAGACCGAGGTTTAATATAACCCTAATCTGACGTGAACCTTTAATGAACTCGAGACTTCGGACAATTCTCGCTTTCGTCGGACACTTCGGAAAATAATTTTGTCCGGCAGTGGTGGAACTCTTGTCAGAATGAGTGGTCATCGCGTCGTGCGATATTGATTTTTCGTGCGAGCAAAGTTTTTCGCGCAGCCTTCGTAAAATGTATGTCAGGTAAAGGAAAATTTAGATACGTTTATCGAGTGAAAGACTTATAAATGTCTAACACATGCTCGTGGAATATATTCGTATCTTCTGATATCGCAATTTGCATTGCGCGGTCAAATTTATCAAAAAATCTATTTATAGAATCTGGATCAATCGTGTTTTGGCTCGGGAAAATTTTTGGCTTCCGATTTCTTGTGAAACATCATGATTAATCGTGGTAATTAATATCCTCTTGTGGCTAGTTAAACAAGAGATCATTAATTATCATCATTTATTATCTATTATCGTAGTTATAATTACAGTAGTACTATAATCATAGTTGTCATATGAGGTTAAAGCTGATATTCTCCATGCTGCTTTCGCTTTTGGTTTGTTTTGTCCCACGTAAATGTTTTTATTTTTATAATAATCTCTATCACGCATTGTGTACAAAAATAATTTTTCGAAATAGAATACACATTTAGTTATTTTTTGCATCGGCAAAATCCAATAGCGCTTCAAAAATAATTTTCATTATTGACAGAAAAAGAGAGAGCGAAAGGGAGAGAGAGGCAAATTGATAAAGTCGCAGATCCATGGTGTATGTACATATATATATATGTGTGCGCGCGTGCGAAAGAGTTACATTAGCCGACACGCGAGCAAATTGCATTTGTCGGAGCACACGTATGCACACAGTGTATATCGGTGCGGCGATACGCGTGTCGTGTAAATCGAGAATCACGAGAACAACGTTCTACGCACATAGATCACGCGCCCACTCTGTATATTTGTGTGTGTGTGTATGTCGCGTAGCTCAGTATCAGACAACGGAACACAATTCGGCACGCGAGTTAGAGACGGGCATTAACTGACGCGCATCACATCTGCATGTCGACTTTACGACATTACACAACAGTGAAGTGCGTGTGCGTGCGTGCATAGACTTATCTCACTGATTCAAGATGTATCGAGCAACACAATGCGTGGCTGTGTTTGTATGAATTCAACACGAGATACATACACGTGTACATGTATAGGGCGTATGTATTTACAAAGTTAGGTTGGCATGCATAAATGCCAAATTGGCAAATAGGTATACGTTATACATACGTGTACATAACGCAATATCGTTGCACAGGATAGAAGTTTTTAATACAGCGCGTTTCAATCTCGCACGTGCATGATTAATCGTGTAAATAAAATCAGCTGTTAATTGTCAAAATAAAAAGGTAATCGAAAAACTTGAAATTTAAATTAATACATTTTTTATTACTATGTATACTGTATCATAATACACACGCATAATCTCTATCTCTCTCTCTCTTTTTTGTTGTAAAATAACTCATGCTGGTGTAATCTGTCTTCATTTCCCACACGCGTCGTATAGCTTTTCCAAGATTTTTATTTTCGATATTACATTACCTTTTCAAGTTGGATATTTTATCATATGTCAAATATATATCAGTTCTCTGTATAATGGATTGGTGTGAGAGAAAAACTGTTTCGCACTGACCTGTTATCACTTATGCTAGCATGAAAAACCGTTTCTCTTAATGGCAAGGTAAACATTCGACTTTACTAGCATTGTGAGAGATTGCGAGTGTGCAAACTGCGAATTTCAACATGCGTATACGCGAGTAGTTCAGTGCGCGCCGTTAAAACGGAATGTCAGCAGATAAGGGAGCATATGGCCATGCTGCAAGTTTGTGCATCCACACACACACACACACACATGGCTTTCCTTGCGATATATTATACGAATTGTCGAGAATTGAACATATACGAAAGAGACGAACTTGGCGAGAGGAGGAGCACATACATGTTTTTGTCGTATAACTCGTGAAATAATGTTCGTTAACTTTTCAAGTTAGCTTCGCGACCCAGCTGTTCTGCTGTTATTCCGTTAATTACAACGAAATATAGCTTCGACAACTGAAAAAGAATCTACGCGAAACAAAGATTAAACCACTTTTATTAAATTCTGGTACAGAAAGAAGATTGACGGATATATATCTCATGTTCTACCTTGACATCGCTTGTTATTTGAACAGCTGCATTTAATAATGCGATTGCACACGCGTACATTTCTCGAGCAACTTTAATGTCGAAGAGCAAAACGTCATACACATTTTCGCACTTTTGTCTTTTAGAATATTAAAAAAAAAAAAGAAAAAAGAGAAGAGAGGGAAAGGGTCAGAAAGCTCATCTTTGATGTTCCAAACTTGACACGCGTACCCAACAATACGACTTGCACGTGCCCTCGCACGCACATACGTACATCTTGACTGATCGCAGATATATATATATATATATATATAGCGGCTGTAGCGGCAAGTTTACGGACGGATGTACGTACGGATGTAGGGACGGACGTAGGATCGATCCGTGGCCCTGGAAAAGGTGCGGGGCACAGGGTCGGAAAGCAGCGAGAGGTGGATGGCGGTGTGGAGAGGGTGGTAGTTCTCCTCGCGCATGGGGTGGGAAGGAAAGCCGCCGTGGTACATTGGGGAGAGAGAGGGATATGGTGGTCCTGGCGACTGCTGTGCGCCGTCGCGACGTCGCTCGACGTCGAGGCCAGCCGAGTTTCCACCCGGTGGGGGTTGCTCTCTCTCTCTCTCTCTTCTCGACCCTCTCTCTCTCTCTCTCTCCTTCCTCTTCCTACATCCTGTCCTTCTTTCTTCATCCCCCTAGTAGTCGACTCTCTCGTGCTTTTCCTCCCCTTGCTCTATTCCCGATGTCGTCTCTGTTCAACCACTATCATAGGATCCGCTTCTCTCGCTCTCTCTCTCTGACCTCGCGGTCTCTTCTCCTCATCCTCCCTTCGTCATTCCGCCACCCTCTCTCATCCTGCCTCTCCCACTCTATTTCCTAGTCTCACTCTCTCGCTATACGTAGCTCTGCAAAAACAAGCATACGGCTATCCCCAGTAGCACCCCGGTATACAAACCCGACAGAGCGTCACGTCGGGTGCTCCGCGTGTCTAGGGGTAACGTGGACCCTACGTCTCTCTCTCGTCTTGCCGTCACGATCAGCGTCACACGCGATGAGCGCCGCGCGTCACGTGCTACTTGCGCGTGACACCTGGCACGTCACGACGTAATCCTCGACGACGACCTCGACCCTACGACTTCCTCGCGTCGGCAGAGTTTGTTCCTCGGTTTGTTCTCTCTCGCGAACAAATATTCTGCATTTTCTTTCGCAACCGAATCTTTCGTTCAAGACAACCCAGTTGCCGAATTGTGTAAGAGATCCCGGGATTTTGCTCCAAACGGAAATTCTTTATTCAACGATTGTGATTTGTCTGATGACAGTATATACTATCGTCATATTCGGACATTCCAAGCGCAATCTCTTCGACCATCGATATATCTCGAGGTGCATTTGCGAGGTGGTCGACAGTGTCCTCGACGACGACGACGACTTCAGCTGTGTTGAGAAATTGACGAGAAGCAATTAGTGAGAAAATTGTGCACGCGATAATTGCCGCGAAAATGAGCGTGTCGGGATCAAATGTCGAGGAAAATCGGTAGTGTGCAATGCTCTCTCATGCGCGATCCCAAATTCACGAATCTCACTCTCGAGGATTTCCAGCGCAGAGAATACGGCAGCATGAAGACGGGGACTCATTGGAAAGTTTGATGCTTACACGCGAGCTGAAACTTGCTCCGTACTCGTCGTCTGTTACGGTCGTCTAAGGATAACGGGATTTCATCAAAGCGTTTTATGATTGAGACTGGCGTGCTTCATCGCAAATCTTTGTTCCTCTCTTTCTGTTTCGCTCTCCTCTCTTTTATTCTTACGAAACTTTTCCGGACTTCTTCGTAAAAGATTATGCGAAACTCGTGGAATCATTAGAGCGTTATCATCACCGGTCGATGTCGACCAAACTTCGTCCGGCCGTCGATAATTCGTAGGAATCGTCCGATCATAGTTTGGTATCTGGTCGTTGGTTGCGCCTTTAATAACCACGTCATGTGTAATGATTGATCGTTCCCAGCTTCCGACAGAAAGAGATAGAACGGATGAGTTCTTGTAATATAACGCGAGTTGCGTTGACGATCAGAAATGAACCCGGTCATCGCTCTTTTGTCGAGCCAATCATTGGATAAATCAGGCTTATCTTCTTGAAGAGAAATTCAATTTGTGTATTATTCTTGGCGTGGCGAGAATTCCTGCTGGACGTGTGAGTCAAGTCAAGTCACCGAACTGATTCTGAACGAGTTAAACTCCTTCATTTTTTTCACGGTGCATTTTCATAGACCCTCGGACTTTTCATAAACGTGCGAATATGTAGGTGGTAACCCTCATCATCTGTCGGCGCATTTGCGAGGGGTGAATCGGCGCGAAGCGTGTTACAGACAATACAGATTATTTCGAGCACGAGGATCGAATGCTGCAAACGGTTGGCAGGATTACACGTCACGCTCAGCTAAGGGAAGATTTTGATCGCATTAGCGGTAAGTCGATGTATCATATATTCACTTTTTACAGTGAAATCCTTCATTTTACGCCTTGATGGTCCGGCAGACTATCAATCGCGAATTTATCACGAGATAGAATGAAAAGAGAAATAGGTAGGTAATTTACATCTCTTATTAAATGAAAAGCTTGGGGAGAAACTCGATCAATTAATCATTAAGGAATAGATATCATAATACTATCATTTATGCTTTTATAAGCTTTTATTGACATATTGATAAAAAGCTTATCAGCGGTAAGCTTTTTTATCAATTATAGAGTTGTTGAATATTGTGTGTGATTTTTTGGTATAAAATATAATCTCATTATATTAAATATGTTATAAAAGGCAATATTGAGTAACAAGATTATTTGTGTTTCCGCAAAAAAAAAATATAGGATATATATAGTTATAAAATACGGAATTGTCGCAGATCAATTTTCTCTCTTCCTCGCTCTCTATCTCTCTCTCTCTCTCTCTCTCTCTGTCTCTTCTGAGCTTCTCTCGTTTAAATATACCTCTTGTAATCGATCGGACATTAGCTATAAGATAATTGTCGTTCGATTAATTACAGCTCGTACTCAACGTCTCTCATTGTCTGAAATAGCCATTTATTCACGAAACAGTTACTTTAATGACAATTTTCATTGATCTCTCTTATATATTTTTTTTTACCTTTTATATTTTTTTATACTGTTTGACCAATGAAAATTCGCGCTTTTAACAAGGAAGAAAATTTAACAATTGTTTTTAGAACGATTTTACACAGATACCAGAAACGTACAATAATATTTACACCATTTTCGTTTATTGATCTAAAGAATATAATTTATAGTTAATTTAAAAAAAAAGTAAAGCATTTAAAATAAACCAGTTCAAATAATATAATATTCAATTTAGATTATTGCGTTTTAAAATTAATTTTAGCATGTTAAAATATAATTTTATTTTTTCTTGTTATTATCTATTTTTAAATAATTATTAGAACTTTGATTACGGAAAATATAATCAAAAAGGTAAAAGGTGAACTTTGAATTTAATATATTATAGAAATTTAATGAAAGCTGAAGAAAATATGAGATATAGGCCATTATTATTAACATATAATTTTTGAGCGGTGAGTCTTGCACGTATATTCACGGTTAAATCGATTTACAATCGAACGAAGTTCATATCGCACGTTCTCGTAATTCCGTTCGCGATTGAATGCACCTGACATTTTAACAACGATCGTAATGGCACGCCATACGCAAGTTTCCAGATCGTTATACATAGTTAACTGCGTTTCAGATTAATTGATGAGCATAATCGATTTTGACGATGATCTCGTTCAAGTAAAACTGATCGAATCGCGCGTTTAAATGTGTAATTATATACTTATAACTTGTAATATAATAGCGTACCCGTGAGTTTTCATTTTTGGATAAACGTCTCAAATCCGAATCACATTGTTCTATTAGTGAGGATCTAATTAAATATAACTCAAATCGGGTACGGTATGAAATATTAGAATGAAATTTTGATTTTCAATCAATACACTTTAAATTTCAATTGAAAATCATATTTGCATTTATCGGGCAAGTAAGAGCTTTAACAGATGTCAGTGTTAGTTCGAGGAAGAATCTTTCATTGAAATTGATTTTTCTTGATATGGAACCGAAAAATTAAATAAAATCTCTCAATTCAAGATTTTATTTCAATAAATTCCTCTATCTTTTCCCTAAAAAGAAGCAAAGGCGAGAAAAATATCGGGGCAAAGTCAATTTTCATTTTCGTATCCTTGTTTCTGGTGTGTAAATCTGACTCAACCTATCTTCCTCTCGGGAGAAATTCATGTGTATATTCCTTTAGTTCTTACGAAAATTACTTGGAGCTAATTTCGAAAATTACTCTGACTATTATAGGATCCTACAAATCGAATTATCTTTTCCTTGTACCTGCAGGAAAAATACGCGTAGAAGTTTTTGCTACTTTTCGAATGAGCGTCACTGCACTCAATCTTATTTACTGGCGTTGCGTTTTATCGCATGTCTATAGCGTCTCCAATATCGGCAAGAGTCGCTTTTCCGACTGTCATTCATTTTCCACTCTATTTCTATGCGTAAAATTTTTTGCGATCTTTTTCATATTTAATAGACTGTTTTAATTATTATTGAATTCATTAAAGAGATACTGTGATGAGTCTCAGTCTTTCAAAAAATATTAACTATACTTATCAATGGAAAAAATCAATGTTTCTTCTAATTGTTCTTTCATACTTAAAAATTAAAATATAACAAAAAATTAAAATGTAGTATATGTAGTAATTAATAATATAAATAATACAATAACATGTATTATCTGTATTGTTAAATACATATATATTATATTTTAATTTTTTTATTATATTTTAATTTTTGGAGCAGGAAAGAATAGAAATAATACATATATTTAATAATACAAATAATAGAACAATTGTAAATATACAAATATAATATACGGTATACTAATATAATAACTTCATTGAAAACTAACTTGGGAGGCAAAGCAAGATATCTTTCAAAAAGTATTAACTATACTTACAATGAAAACAATTGATTTTTTCGGAGCATTCCTTTATAGAAAAGGATTCTCTATAAAAATTAAAATGTAATAAAACATTTTAAATGAAGTATATATATTGTATAATGTTATTTAATAATACAAATATAATTTTCATTGAAAACCAGCTGAGGGAGAGTAGGGCAACTCATTGTGAGACGATCTCGACGTGAAATTCTATGGTAGATCACAATGCTTGAATTTAGTGGCATCATTTTCGTAATAGCGCGCACATCAACGTACATGTTTGTCGTAATGATTTGGCTTCTCATATAATAGTCATGGTAGAGATCTCTTCTATATTAACCCTCTAAAACGTGCTTGGATGTATATACTATATACTTTGTCACATTTTCTCTATCTCATTCTCTCTTTCTCACTTGTATAATATATATTATTTAGCTATTTATTTTCATATATCTAGTTTCTTTAAAGAGAAAAATTAATTTGAAATAAAGATAGGTTTTTAATCATTAAAAATTTAGAATTTTTACTCGAAAACAAGATATTGCATTACATTAAAGTATTACATGCACATAAAACAATTCTGAGGTAAACATTATTTATTCTTCAATTGTTTCTACCACGCTGGACAGCTGTCACAATGAAAAAAAAAGAATGCAGTTTTACATCCTGACATAATTTATATCTAGAGATCATATCTAGAGATAAATATATAAATAAGATTGTGTAAAATTTTCTTGCGGTTGCTGATTAAAATTTTTTCTAATAAATGAACGCATAAACCTCGTCTGACTCTCAACGAGAGCTTAAATGTATTTTTTATAATTAACGTTTTATAATTTATGTACAATAAAGTATGAGAATTAGTGCGCAGAAATTCGCGATCAATACGAATTAAATTCTTTCGGTCTGTCCACAATTTGTCCAAATCGCTTATATTGTTTTATGTAACATATTAATTTAATTATTAATTATAATTTTAGAATTATAATAAGAGATACTATAAATATGAAAATTAGAAACTATATTATATTAAAACATTAATCGTCGCCTTGTGCTTTATAACTTTGTTTGCGGCCTTGAATTTGCATCCGTTTTCATAATTTACTATGCAATCGTAAATATACTCTGTAGCGCGGCCACTTCCTATTATAGTCATAAATAAATGCAGCACGTGCGCACGAGAAGAACGAGAGAGAGGGAGTGAGAGAAAATAAAGGGGGAGAGAAAGGAGGAGAAAGAGAGAACTTCTCTTATCATTATACGTGCGGAATAAAAATATCACTATTAAAGCGGTGACATTCTTGACGTCGTCGTAGGTTTCAAGCTGGAGCTGGATATGCACCCTCATAGCACACGCTTTGCATATCAAGACTTGTGTATCAAGTTACCCTTTGTGCATCACGTGACCAACACAGGCTGCAAGTTCTCATCTATCTCTCTTCCTGCTTCTTCTTTGCATACATACACCGCACGTGTGTCCGATCATTCTGCCGGCGTCCTGTCATTTCGTCGCATAAGATTTTACGAGTTGATGCTTGCCCGGTAACCGTGTGATTACACGCTCGCATTTCCCGTACGTGTGTCCTGCATCCTCGAATAAGCGATATTCTCGCACATGCGAGACCCTCAGCGAAGTCACTCCCGTGCATATATATTCAAAACACAACTGAGCCATTTCTTCTTTTGTACATAATAATTTGTCATGATATATTTTTACACACATACACTTTAGTAGGTTTTAGAAAGTTTACAGTTTTATTTTAGAAATGTCAGGGCCTTCAAGAGATTTGATCTTGAGACTTCTCTCTTAACAGGTAATTTTAAATAAAAATTAGAGTATATATATATATATATATATATATATATATGTCCATTGAAAAATGAAATATATAACTACTTGTTTATTCTCTGGTGGCGCAATTATCGTTTACAAAGTGTCGGCGACATAAAAATCGAACGATACGAATCAGGCGTACTCCGAAAGGTCTGACAAAAAAGCTTTTTACGGGAGAAACTCGCGTACCGTGTTAAACATTTCATTCATACTTCATTAAGTCACTCGTCGCCGACGCTAAGCACTCTCGTCTCCCGCGAACTGTATACATGTCGCATACAGTGTATACACCACTCCGGATACAATCACGCGCGAGAAGGAGAGGATTCACGCCGTTGTTTGACATGAGACTGATGCAGGGAGGGTAATATCCTCCACTTTACCTTACAGCGTCCTGTCAGCGTCTTATTCGTAATCTCGTATACACTTATCCTCGGTAGACCCGTTATTTATGTCAATTTAATCTCAGCTAATCTAACTGTTGATATATGATTGAAAATAATGAGCGCAACGCGTGCGATAAACGAGATTGCATTAATTCAACCTAAAGACGTCAGTAAGAAAAAGACGACCAGTCTTAATTAATTAAGAGACGCGTACTTCTTAATTAGTTAGCA